ACCGAGAACACCGCCTCCGCAAACACCTCCCCCACGAACTTACCCACCAAGAACACCGCCTCCGCAAACACCTCCCCCGCGAACTGTTCCACCAAGAATACCACCTCCGCCTAAAACACCTCCACACACCCCGACACTTCCACACACGGTGCCTAGAACCCCACCAACACCGACGTATAAAATAACACCACCATACGTACCCCCACCAACCCCATCGAGAACACCGCCACCGTATCTGCCACCGAGAACACCGCCACCAAGAATACCACCAACACCACGAACGCAGGGATATGTTTATACTACACCAGAAACAGTCTTTACGTATCCTCCCGTAACTAAGGCAACACCACCACCTCCTCCTCCTCCTCCTACAACTGCACCCTCTTACCTGCCGCCATTTTCAACTAGACCTCCCTACGTACCACCAACTTCGAGGACAACAACGGAAAGATATACAGAAATTGGAGCTGGATCAATCGACACTGGAATTGGAATATTTACTACGAGACGTCCGACAACTTCTCCCACAATTAGATACACTCCAACTATAAGTACAACATCATCGAGACCAGGCACTACTTATTTGCCGCCCAGAACCACTCCACCGACCCCTACCACCTATTTGCCTCCTCCGGAAACGCCAAAAACCCGACCACCACCATATCTTCCGCCGTCATCCCCGAGGCCGGTGTATCCAACCGTGACGGCTCCGCCGCCACCCTCGCCCATTTACAGCATCACACCTAGTACGCCGACCTTGCCGCCACCAACCGGAAGACCAGCGCCACCCCCAACACTACCGCCCACGACATCCAGACCAGTAGGATACAATTACCAGATCCCCGACATCCCGTTTGAAACTCGCAAACGATGAAAGCCGCTATCGCGGGAGACTTACAGCGCGTTACCGGTCAACAAAATCTTGATATTAGTATGCATAATATTAATTAATTAGCAAAGATTAGTATTTAATGGCCGATGGTAGCGCTAAATCGTTCACCGAACATTTAGAGAGTATTGCTTTTTTTTTATACCAATCATTTTCACCGCAGATAAGAATTTTCTACCAGATAAAGATTTAGTCGAGCAATCGGTGTCTTTTTACATGTGTAACGAGTGTGAAAAAAAAAGAATAAAAATTTTTAGAAAAATGCTACCTACATACCTTTCCGTCTTAACGTAAAATGTATCTTCGAGCAAACATTGAAATCAGAAGTAATTTCTCAATGTTACGATATCACATTGTTGTAAAATTCAACAATGTATTTAACGTGAGACAAAGTGAGACGTATAAAGGATTGCATTAATTGTGCTAATTGGTGGGAAGCATGTTCTTACATTTGAAAGCGCAATTGTAACAACGCATATACATCGAAACTATTTCGTTTCTTAAATAAATTAACAATATAACTTTGTGCATTAAAACATGTTTAATTATAAAAATACTTTTGTTATATTTTATAAGCTGGACGTATATAAAACTATTAGTATTATTGTATCAGTTGACGTTTATTCACAGGCTCCTTCATAATAATCACAAATATTTTTCTTTTAGAGAATAATATTTTAATAAGAGAGAGAGAGAGAGAGAGAGAGAGAGAGAGAGAGAGAGAGAGAGAGTCAATTTTTTTTCACAGAAATATATTAATTTTTATTTCTAGTCTCTTGCAGCGACTTACATAGATTTCTATAAATAATCTATTCTGCGTAATTCGACATGTTAAAATCCGAAGGTCCTCGTCGCGTACGTTCTTCCGCTTTCTGTTATTCTGAATATTTGCGTATAGACACTTGTGTGACAAAAGTGTACATCACGAGCAAGAAATCCCAGTGTCACTTTGGCAGACGAAAATGGGGCGTTAGAAGCGTATTTAGCAGGTCAAGCACCGGAACGGTGAGAGATTTTCCTCGCATGTCGTGCGCGCTCGGTGGCACTCGAGTCTGGCATCGAAGTAAGTAGCCCATAACCACCTGCCTTCTACTTACCATAACGAGCCTCCCCCACGAACAAAGGAAATCTCTACGGCGCTGATAGAATCGCCAGTGAAAACTGCGTGCCGAGAAATGTGCGATCGTTAGTTGCGTGAGAAGCGGCGACAGAGCAACGTCGCGTGCTCTATACAGATCGAAATAGCGGCTACATCATCGGGCCGAAACAGTCTTCTATCGTTTGTCAAAATAATCCTTACCGCGGAAACACCTGTCGATCGTTCGGACGGTCACATCGGTTACATCGGATGACAATGGCAAGGTGAAACGAATCGACATATCGAGGCATGTCAACGGTAAGCTGATTAATTAAGGATACGCAGTATCGTCAATGTGTAATCGTAAAGGACACCAGTCGCCAGACCTCTCGGAAGGCGATGCTTGAAACCGGCAGGAGATCCGCCATAAGTACTTCCGAGCTAGGGCTTTATTCCGACCGTGGTGATCGATATAACAGGAGTCGCTACGGTTTAATCGTGCGGAAACTTGCGATCGGAGTTATGGTGGTGGTAACGGTGATACTGGTGAGTAATTGTCAACAGAATTGCAGGCATTATTAATTATTTGTCGCATTCGTTAGAAAATATTTTAGAACGCGACTGAAGCTTGTAACTGAACTTCACAATTGAAATTTTCACAGTCAAGGCTTAAAAGCAGAAAAGTTAAAAACGCACAGTAATGAATTCTAATCGAGTGTGCCATAATTACACAACAAATAGTTTTAATTGCAGTATTTAATTTTCTTACGTATTCTAACATACCCTTTCTTCATGACGTGAGCAAAACAATAGTTTTATTTTATAAAAAGTATAAACATACCATACTATAAGTAAATTGATAAACTCGGTAAATCTTCAGGACTAAGAATATAAGATAATGCGTTACAATTGATAAAGCGATGCTTATGGCTTGACACTTTATTCACCTGCGTGCACGCCGTCTTCCATTCGATGATTTCGCTTCACGTTCTATGCAATTTCTATCGGACAATGACCTTGCACGACAGGTCGTCTGTACAATAATTTGCGACGCATCCTGTTTCGCATGATTTTGTTAAGCGCGTCTCCGCGATATGATAATTAAACGGTGCGGGGTTTTTCGCGAGTTTCTTCCACGCGCGAGGAACAATAGACGTAATTGCATTTCGCGCGTTTTCTCCGGTGATTAATGTCGGAGACGCGTGTGGAACTGTAATTTCACCGCGAATCTTTGGGTATCCCTTCCATGCATGGGGAGCCAAGCGAGCGAAGATTTCTGCACGCTTCACATATAGGGCGTTAACTGTGTTTCGGTACGGATTAGCCGTCGTTCGCCAGTTGGGAACGTGGGTTAATTGCATCTTTGTTATTTCCAAAGCTGGATAAACATCGTGCGTGGTTTTATAAACTGTTGATTATACAATTTCACATCGCTATCATTCATTTTCCTTCTGCAGTAAAATCGTAAATTAACGTTGCATTAAGAACTAACTGGAGGTCTCGTTAAAAAGTAGCATATATAGTATTTAGTTTGCCGAAATTTTATAGAACGCACTAAATTTGACTTTCCCTCGCAGATATTAAAAGCATTTCATTATCTTCGTAATATATATTATAAATCCTCAAGCACCGTTTGACAATTTTAAATTGGTTTATTGTCAGATGTCACAAATATTAGTTATATATTTAAATTTTAATAATTTAGTATAATCCTAGGTGGCGATATTCACGTACGATTTTACATCCGCCACATCGGGGAACAGCAAAATCAATCAAGAAACGAAGCACATATACATACTACAAAATGCCCTCAAGAAGTCACCGAATCTCGCGAAAAAGCCTACAAACGCCACGTCTCAGTACGAAGCCATGATTAATCGCACAGACGATCTTTCCATAGAAGATCGTTCAGACGATGAGAACTACGGAATTCTCATGCAACGAAATGCAACGGGCGATATAACGCCGGTCGAGACACGCATCGCGAAAGCGAGCGAGCCCGAGATGAGAGCGCAGAATCTGCACAATTTCAAGCAGCGGAAGAGAGTGCTGAAATCCGTGGAAGATGCCAATGAAAATGAGGACCCCGACACCAAGCAATTGTTCGATAATCATGCGATCGTTTATCGTGTGAGACAGAGGTAAACGGAACGTCATCGTGATTAATATCTACGACTACTTTAACAGCGCGTCCGATTTCTCCGAATCGTCATTCATCAAAATAAACGAAAATGTTAAGAACTGGACATTTTTTTACTCGAACGGCAAGTAACGATTTGTAAATGTCGACTTGACGCGACATCAGAATCTGCGCTCGATGCAGCGCGAAAGAATTGGCATCTCGTGCAAACGTCGAAATTACATCGGCGCTTTAATTCTCACATTAATAATCCCGAGCTTATCGCGAATATCATTGGCATGTTAATGTACAAGGAATACTTTCTATGTTGGGTAACATTGTGCCATTGCGCACGCTAAATCGGTCCTACAAATTGTACATTGCATAAAATCTCGCCGACGTCGTTCATCACTTTCATTGTGATGCGTAGAGAGAGCCGAACTTAATGACATCGTCAAAATTTACGTAACGCGTCAAGTAAGTTTTACGCGCTTGCCGGATTGACACGATAGTTCTTCATCAATTTGGCAGGCACAAATATCCGGACACAGAGGAGGACGTAAGCGCGGAGGAGGCCCGACCTACGCCGTTTCACTGGGAATTCAAGACGCCGCAACCGACGTCATTCAAACGGCCAAGATATCCGCAGCTGACGCAATATCGATACCCGCATTCGTCCAGGAGTATCCAGGACATCATTAAGTATCTGACGAACAGCGCTGAGATGCCGAATCGCGGCATCAAATTCACTGGCGTCTACGTGAATCCAAAAAAGTACGATCTGATGTCCGACATGGGTGAGATGATGTCCAGCAGTGATAACTCCGAGGAAAACGAGACACCTTCCTATCCGATCAAATCGGGCATGTACAGTAACGATCCCTTCTACCAGTACAAACCGAAACACCCGGCGGACGTCAATCTCCTAGCTACGTCTAACGTAAGGTTTGTAATCGAAAGAAGTTGTTATAATATCAAGAATCTTGAATCTAAGATAATACTAACGAATCGAATTGGGGAGATAAAAATTTATACATTATACAACTTTACAGAACTATCTTCCGTTTCATAATAAACATACAACTTTGGCGAATAAATTATATTATCGTATATATCACTAATTCATAAGAAGCCCTAATCAAATTATTCTCTTTAAGGTTCTCTCCGACCGGAGTACATCGATACAGCCCTTATTACGACCCCATATATTCCCGACCTTTAGTCAATTACAACAAACCGGTCATAACGGAACCGCAATACGAAAGCGTTGCCTCATACTCGACGAACACCATAACGAAGAACCGGAAACCGAAGCCGTTCAGCGTAATGCTGGACATTTATCCCATCACCGACATTATGGAGCAGAATAAGAAGACGACGTGGCCTAGGCCGCAAGGATCCACGGACGATTACGACCTCCGAAGGCCCGTCCTATACCATGGAAATCCTATACCAAAATTTTATCCATCCCCGCAACCTATACCTCTTATGGCTGCACCTAGCCCTACGCCTATATCGGAAGAAGAGGAGAGAAAGCAAATGATACTTCATCTAAACTTGTACCCTCGGAAGAAGAATAAGCTCAGCAGGTGCGGCACCCAATAATTTATCGTTAATCACGTTTGATTCTTATCATTTCGTCAATCAACTTCATTTCGAATAATTAAATTTGAATTTTGTCTTGCGACTATAAATCGTAGTCAAAAAATTGCTTCGTTTTTGTATTCATAAAAAAAGAACTCGAAACACTCGATGTCTCGGTGTCATCAAAAATTTAATTTAATAATATTAATTTGATTCCCAGAAACGATATCATACACAGATCGGAATTGATGGAACCCGAAGAGCGACAGGAATTTGCAAACAAGATAATATCCCCCTTGGAGTCGATCACCAAGCAGTTGACTGATCATTCCGCGATCGAAGAGTCGAAGTTCGAGGAGAATCAAAACTCAGAGACAACTAGTCTTCCGATAACGCGATATCACGAGATGAATTTGGACGATAAGAGCGAGAAGGAGGGAGATCTTCTGTTGGATAACGATTCAGAAACCTATACGGATCTGGTTAACAACGATCGTACCGTAGAAGATACTATCGCATCTTCCAATCATAAGTTAAGCATAGATGAGGATTTTGCGAGCACGGAGAGATATGAAATTAATGCGCAAAGAATAGTCGTGACTGAAAAAGATTGCGCGAATTGCGACAACACAACGATCCACAGCTCGAAGGCCAACGCGAACAAAAATATCGATCCTTCGAGAAATATCGAAGGATCTCAACGTTTCAGCCCCTTGCGCTGAGAATTAAAAATATAATTACTGGAGACATGATTTGCGAGAAAAGATTATCCGCCAAATATTTTTTAACAATTTAGTGCTTGAAACACTCTAATGTTACATAAAAGATTTCATGTCACGTCGCTATTGAATCAGCGAAAATATCTTTATGTGTATTACAATTGTTATCGTATTTCGTTTTGACGAAATATATTTTTATAGTTCTGCTATTGTCTTTTTAAACACTTCTTTACGCAAGGATTTATTTTAGAATTTTAAAAACGTTATGCTATTATTAATTTAGAAAGAATTAATGCTACTGAAAGAGAAGGCAAATAGTCATTAACTTGTAACGAACTATAGCATACGTCTATAAGGATACATCTACAAGGTAAAATGGAGATTTCAACTAGGTTCAATAATCGCACGACAAACTTTCATTAATCACCAACGCGAAAAGTGACTCCTTTCTGTTATACGTTCAACATTTTTGGAGAAAAATGTTATCAATGTGCTTTTCGAGTAACCAAATAAAGATTTCAATAATCTGCTCGAATCCATCTCAGCTTGATATTCTCGTCGAAGATATTCGAGCATTTCTTATGATCTTAGCAAGAACGGGAGACATTTACCACTTGATACAAAACTCCCTATTTTTATCGGACGAAATTGCAGCGCTAAAATTAAAAGTATAATATAACTCAATTTTATCAGAAAAATCTAGACCAGTTTAGCCAAAGTATAATACATTTAATTGCAACGTCCGGTAAAAGTGGAACAGCCTATGTAAAAAGATAAAAAATTCTGCATGAACAATTGTTTTGTCTCATCAAATTTATACAAATTTGAAAATGTATATTATATATTGTCGGCTAAAATGTACAACTTTATTTTGTCTTACATTATATTACAACAGAGAACGCACTTGAAGCTGCTTGTTGAAGCTCAAGTTAAAACAATCATAGTATAAGTAAAATATATAGCTCCAAATCCTTCAGCTTATAATTGTATGTTTTACTTATACTATACTTGTATAATTATATACTATTAGTCTAATCTTAAAGCTACTAATACATAGTCAAATTTTACAAATCATATGCTTCATTACATTGCTCATGTCTTAAATCGTACAATACTTTTTACATTGCGAGTATAGCACCACGATTTTTTCTTTCGATCTCTTCTTTAACTGCAAGTTCATAAATTACATATTGTTAATAGGTTTTTATTAACTTTCGATGCACCTTTCACTCCACTTCATTCGTCTGTAAAGTTTATTGGGATCATACACAGAAAATCGCTCTCTAAAAAGTTTTAGTAAAATCACTGTTTCTAAGAATACTAAAGACAAAATTTCTGTTTAATTAATTTTAGAGTAAATGTTCGATATGCCATTACAGAATTTCTATTTAATAACTAAATCATTTAACATCAATTATTTTCAGCCGAAAAAAATTAATATAATTTGTGGAGGCATTCTCTGATGTTTCCCTGAATCACTACGTTCTCGAACCTAGCGTACTCGGATGATAAAGTGTCGTGTCAGCGCCCCATTCGTACGGGCCTTCATGTGGGCCCAGTGTGACCATCGTGCCAGGACCCAAAGTTGTGTGAGATCCAGAACTGACCATGGCTGGCCCAGAGGACACGTAACTCAGAGGTGGTCGCGGTTGATCACGCAAACGCGCGTGTTTCACGTGTCGTTTATATCTGGAAGAGGAATATAGTTTGCAATAATGTAAGGAAATAAAAATACATTATTGATTATAATAAAATAGGGTCAATGATATATGTATATTATGTAACTATAAAATTATGATTAACGATTATAGTATCCTGCATTTAAATATCAAAGTATCGTGGCGATTCTGGCGGAAAATACCGACATTGAAAATTAATGAAAATAGAAAACGCACCAAATTACTATTTGAAGTAAAATAGTTTTATAAAATTTCCATTTTTAGAGAATTTCGCTGTATGTATAAACAACTAACTAATAGAGGAAAGTCCCCTGTTATGAGATAAACTCCTAATATGAGACAGCGGGATTTCTGTTATTATAAATTAATAGGCATCATCTGTTGATTCCATCACGAATTTATTGCTCTTGGAGCGAAATCTGTTTAGTCGAAAATTTATTGTTAGATTGTGTAATCGTTGCGAAAAAAGATGTGTGATTGAAATTGGGTGTTGAAAACCTGCTATCTCATATTAGAAATCTTATAATAGAGGACTTTCCTCTAACGATGAGATAAATTGACAATTACCTGGCATGCATGCAACACAATGTACAACTGGAGATTATGGTAGCGATTCCGACGAGGACTGCGATGGCCAGGACCCATATTTGCGTCATAGAGGCATCAGCGCGGGCTACCACGGCTGCACAATGCTGCACTTTCTCTACGTGATATGTCCTATATACTTTCTTCAATTCTTTGTTCCTCGGGTCAGTCAGCAAGGATCGCATCTCGTTCAGGTCGTAAGACTCCTTGCCGACCATCTGGAAGCACGAACTGGTCGAAGAAAAATCCAGAGAGTTGTCCTCCTTCGAGTAGAATTGCGTGTCGTAGACATTGACACTGATAGGCAACGAAAGAGCCTGTTGAACTGCCTTTTCGAAGTCCTCTAATGTCTTCCTGACTTCAACCGGCGGTTTCGAAAACACGAACTTCAGCATGTCGCGATCGCGCAACAAGAAAATCCGCACAGTAATATTAGTCTCGCCTCCCGGCGTCACAGAGTTATTCGCCGATACAATCATCTCCATGAAGCCGTCCGCGTATCCCGCCATGGAACCCGTCGTCCTAAGCTCGCCAGTGCGCGCATTCAGGGACACTTGCGACGGTATTTCCTTGTGCGACATGGAGGGGTCAACCAGAGACGTGAAAGACACCTTGCTCATATTGTAGTTGATGGGCAACGCGCCGGAATCGGCATCATAGGCCTCTAGGGTGATTAGGCTGGTGTCGATCGGCACATTTAAGCGAACTCCCAGAGTTACGTTGTCTTTCTTGAAGCGCGGTTTATTATCGTCGATGTCCAGGACTTTGACGAGTACCTGCCTCTCCGATGGGTCCTGCCTGTTGTACGGTTTCGGTACGACGTCTGACTTCTTGGAAGAGTATTTGAAACACTTGACGGTCAGCAAGTGAGACTCGGCAGTTTCCCGATCGAGACGACCATTCGCTTTGATGATCGCGGAATTATTTTCCATCCGTTGCACCAAAAACAGCCCCGCCTCGTTCCCGTACACGATCTCATAGCCGATCATTCCGTTTTCACCGATATCTTCATCGATAGCTTCGATCACGCCGACTTTGGAACCCACCGGCACTTCTTCCAGAACGTTGAGCTCAATCGGCGGACTATCTAGGTTGCGTTTAAAGTGCGGCTTGTGATCGTCAATGTCGTTCACGATCACCTGGAGCACCCTCGTCGCCTGTTGAGGCGGCTCGCCGAGATCCTGCGCTACCAAGATCAACGTATAGCTGTCTTTGGTTTCTCGATCGAGTAACTTGCGTGTGCTGATTAAGCCAGTGTCGCTGTTGATCCTGAAGGCACTCGCATCCTTGCCAAAATTACCGTCTTCCAAGAAACGGAAGGTGATTCTGCCATTCGGCAAATTTGGATCGTCGGGATCGGACGCTACCACTTGGAACACAGGACTACCAACGGTGGAGTTCTCCGCGATGTAGGCCACCTCCTCCAACGTTGGCCTGATGAACAGAGGTACACCGTCGTTGCTCACCACATCGCCGATGTACAGGGTGAGGCTCACATCCGAGTACAGAGTTGACTCGCCGCCGTCTTGCGCTCGCACTCGCATGTCGTATGGTTCGGTCCTGCCTTTACCCGTCAATGCTCGCGCCGAGTAAATCTCACCCGTCGTATGATTTATTTTAAACAAACCTAAACAGCAGTCAAATCGACGATGAATAGTCTAGAAAATCCTTGTCGCAAATGTACGAACTACTTTTAATATCTTTTTATCTTGTTAATTTTTTTTTCACGATTATCTACGAAAGATACAGTCTTGAGCTTCTAAAGTCATTCTAATTTCAAATCATATGACACTCTTTGTATCTATACTTCAGAAAATTATAATGTAATATTTTGATCTTACCATTAGCTTCACCTTCGTCGATGATCTCGAAGTGGATCGTTCCGCCTTGACCTTCGTCCGGATCAGTAGCTGTGATGTTCACCACACTGATTCCAACCGGCGCGTTTTCCGGAATCACCGCGGTGTAAGATTCCTGTTCAAAGCTAGGAGCGTTATCGTTAACATCGAGGACATCGATCGTTACTAAGGCTCGACTGCTTCGTTGCTCAGCTCCACCTTGGGGCATGTCTGATGCCACGACATAAAAACGTAACACTGATTGTCTCTCCCTGTCGAGAGTCGTGTTTGCGGCAATCTGCAAAATAATTTCTTTCGTTACTTACCTTAAAAATAAAATTTATGCAGGAAGAGAAAACATAGTTTAAAAAATTGGGATATCTTTTAGATTTGACAAGATTAGCTTTGAAAAAAATAGAATGTTTTAGATATTTTTAGAATACTTTTTATTCTTTGAATTCTAAAATTAGAACGGTTAGAGATCGGTGGAAAAGTTTTACCTGAATATTGCCCATTATGGGGTCCACTTCAAAGAGATTGGCGTTCTCGCCCGTTAAAGAATATCTCACTTCACCATATCCTCTTTGGACTTCTTGTTCGGTTTTGGAGCTATCCATATCCACTGCTTGCACATTCAACACGATTTTTGAAGGTTTAGCTGACTCCAATACAGAGATCTTGTAATCCTTTTGTCCAAAAACGGGACTGTTGTCGTTGATATCGTGAACTTCGACGATCACGTTAGCCTCTGACATCTTTCGTGTTATATCGTAATCTCTGGCAAGTGCTCGTACTTTAAAGCGAATAAACTGAAAATAAGAGAAGCACATATTTTATAACATATCTTAAGAATTGACGAAACAATATAAATTTATTGTATTAATATTAACAAAATAATCTCTTTGTCACAAAACTTCTGGTCACCAAATTTATGATCTCTATTTAAACCTAGTAGATCTCAGAATTATAATCACCTTCTGATTCAGCTCTTCGTAATCCAGCCTCTTGCTCAGCACCACATTACCGCTCTGAACGCCCACATTAACGTAGCCTTCGTCATCATCTTCTCTCACCAATTCGAACCTTTGAACCGAATATCCCGTCGTCGGCTCTTTCGCCGACAACATCAACAAAGTCGTGCCCAAGGGTTGTTCTTCCGGTACCGTGATTCTTATCGTCGGGTTGTTTGGTGACCACCCAGAATTGGTGAATGTCGGATTGTCATCGCTATAAGCTTGTATGTAAATGATCACTTCCACCTTTGCTATCTGCTCATCTTTAGCGACGACGGCATTCAAGTCCTTCGCCTGCACCGTCAGTATTATGACGGCAGCTACTTGATAATCTAACATTCGATTTACAGTTATTACACCGGTCGTGGAGTTTATTCGAAACGCCGTTTTGTAATCGTAAGAGGTAGTGCTTTTCAAGGCCACGCCGGTCTTATCCACAGCCTTTATCGGTTCCACCAAAGAATATTCTAAATATGCGTCTGCGTCGGGATCAATTGCTACTGCCTTCAATACAAGTTCACCTGTTTATAAAACAATTCTTCATGAGCAATAACCTGTCACTCATGAGGCGACAAGTAGTTAAAGTATCGGAAATCAAGTCGTTATACGATATCTTCACAGTAGCTATAATGTCTGAAAGTATTTCACGATAGCCGAGTATAGAAAATGTTTAATTTAAAAAATGATCCTTTTAATATAAAGTTAATTTTTAATAGACAACTATTTATTAACTGTCTGTTGACAACGTACCAATGGCTGCGCGTTCCGAGACATGAACAGTGTACGTTGATTCATTGAATATCGGCGGTTTATTGTTCACGTCTATGATGTTCACCGTCACGGTAGTGGTGGCAGTTTCCTTAACAGGTGTACCCGAATCAACGGCGTACACAATCACCTCGTATTTTTCACCACCAGTCTCCAAATCCAAACGTGCGTCAGGTGAGACAGTTATGATGCCAGAACTGTAATCAACCACTTTCATTAACTTTGCTGGTATCGATGTTATTTTATTGCAACATGACTACTAAATCTTACGAGTGTTAAAATAGCGAAATAAAATGATTAGAATAAAAACAGGCCGGAAAAAAATAATACAACGGCTCTAAATTCTAACGTTATGTGCTATCTAGTGAAAATTATATTGCACCTGGAATCAATAACGAAATTATCCTTAGAACCGGACGCGATATAATACTGTAGCAAATTATCTCTTCCGTCGGGATCGTTGGCGACCACCCGAATGACTTCCGTTCCGGGAGATGCGTTTTCCAAAAGCCTCGCCCGATAAGAACTAGGGCCTGGCAGATTTGACTTGTAGTTTCCTCGGAAGATTGGTTTCTGGTTCCCAGGAACACCGACGCGAATGAAAAGCTTTGCCTCGGAATGTAATGGCGGTATGCCGGTATCAGTCGCACGAATCGTTAATTCGTAAATGCCCCTTTCAGTATCTCCAGAACGAACCGGTTTCGACATAGTTACCTCACCCGAGTCCGGATTGATCTATAAAAATTTACATTTGAAAAACAACGTTTAAACAATATGTTACAAAATAACATTTCAATATTATGATAAAATTTAGTAATCACATATACATTTACTTTAATTTTGTAAATCAGTATTAATTTCCACAAGTTTACATAAAATAAAACATCAATGAAAAATTACCACTTATTAAAATATAAATTAATAAGTGGCAATACAATTGTTTGCACTCATATTAATCGATATTGAATCTCACTTTTATTAACGCCTAGAACACATCGATTTTTATTTTTAAATATAATAAAGAAAATTAAGGAATGAAGAACCGCTCTCCTTATAAAAGCACTTTAACAACGAACCTTGAAGACGTCATCTGTCATACTGTTGTGCCGGCTAATCGAATACACGACCTTCCCGTTGCCTTGCATCGGTCCATCGACGTCGGTCGCCCTGACGAACATCTGCGGATCAAAGCTAGTGGCATCTTCGCGAACAGTCCTGGAATACACCGGTTGCTCAAACGTCGGCTTGTTATCATTAACATCCTCGAGTTCAATAAGAATGTTAACGGCAGACACACGACCGCCGCCGTCCGTCGCCTCCATCGTCAAGGAATAAGACTTCTGGGCTTCGTAGTCCAGTTTGTTCGCCACGAATATCCCGCCCGTCCGCGAATCGGTCCTGAACTTGTCCGCGCCGAAACCACGCAGAGTGTAAGTCAACTTGCTAAAGGCACCGCTGTCGTAATCCTTTGCGTAAACGTCACCGAAACGCGTGCCGGGTTCCGCGTCTTCCGAGATCGACAGTTTGTACACCGACCGAGAGAATTCGGGGCTGTGGTCGTTGGCGTCCATCAGCTGAATGTGCACTCTGCAAGTGGCTACCTGCGGTACAAACAATGACTTTTCACAAAAACCTTAGCAAAGAAATTTTTTATAAAACAACTCATTATTTTACGTAGTATAGAGTATTCCTATTTTGGAACACACAAGATGACATACATTTGAAAGTCGTTAAAATGATTTCTAATTGACTCTGCTACAAATTAATTATTCATTCTTTAAGCGATGCGATTAAGTCGCGTAAACAATATCTTTAATGTTCAATATTGTAAAGAGCTAACCACTTCGCTCGCTACAGTCGCGATGACGTCAAACTCAATTTCTCGCTTTGCAGGATTGTCAACATCGTAATCGAGAACATTGACATCCTTAGCCTTGATCACCACCGGTACTCGACCCTGAGCCTCTTCGGGACTAACAATGAATGCTTTGCTGATTCCAGGGTATCGCGGTACGTCTCGCAACGCCAGGAAATACTTTGCATTGTCGCCCACGTCGCCATCGTTCACAATCATATTTAGACCTGTTCAATCACAATGTCGTCAAACACGAGGCTCTCCCCGAAGAAGAAACACAAATGGAAAATAGAGAAGCGAAATAAAAAGATTCCCAAATTTTACTTCCGTCGTATTGAATAATCAATATTCTGTTTCATAAATGATAAAGAGAGTAAAGAAAAGAGGAGTAAAAAGAATATATAATAAAATTGTTCTGTAATTGTTGGAACAAATGAGAAAAAATAAAATTACAAAAGAGTATATATCGATCAAATTAAAGATGAGAGGATACTGATACATTTATCAAGTATTCAATTTTGTAGAAGAAGCACGATTCTCAGCAAGCTCAAATACCTGGTAGAGGAGTGTCTTTTCCAATGTCCTCGGAGATCTTGATGCTGAAGTAATCCTCATTGAAAGTGGGCACGAGGTCGTCCACGTCTGTGACGACGATAGTGACGATCGACGTCGCGGTGTCAGCCGGTATTTCATTGTTGATCAGCTCGGCGGCTCTAACTTGGAAGGTGTAAATACCGCCGTTCTGCAGGATCCTGGGATCCTCGCGGTCGAGGGACACGTTGGTCGTGACCAGCCTGCCAACCGTGACATCACCATCACGGGACATCTCGAGATCGAAGTGGCCCGCATAGTCGTCCTCCAGCGTCAGCAATAGATTCCTCGATTCACCAGTATCACCGTCACGTGCCCGCACTATCAAAACCGTGTGACCGGCTGCTGTGTTTTCCGGAAGCGCCGCGCTGTAAGGCGCATTCAGGAAAACAGGTGGCTGATCCTACGAGACAAATGTGCGAAAGATTATTTCGCTGCGGTTTACATTACAGATTATCTTTTACGAGGAACAGTTAACGTCTCTGTTTCTGTAAATTTTGTCACGTCTATACTTTGCTGATTTAGTACGATTTTGACGTTGCCTCTACCAGTAAAACTTGAACAGTTGCACGTTCTCGTTAATCAAATCGTAATTACTGAAATAACGAGACTCGCCATTTTTTCCGCATTATAATTCATTCCTGTTATTCAATATTTGTATACTTAAGCTTAAATTAACTTTGGATTACACTTAAAATTAATATTTAAGAATAGAGTATACCAAGAATTTAGTCGTACTAAAAATACGAGATAAAAATAGAATTGCGATACTCTCGTTACTTCAACGTGAATGACCGCTATGCGTCACTCATGACCGAGATGAGTCTTCACTTGATAGCGTTCGCGCTGACAGGCAGAGATTGAATAACAGGTTGATGATTCCCTACTAATTTTATCGTAAACGATGTTATTATCCAATGTAGGACTATCGCCGGCTTTGTGCACAGTTATTTCAGCGACGATCAAGACCTACTTACCTGAACGTCGAGGACATCGACGGCAACGGTCGCTCTGGCCTGCAACCTCTTCGATGGATCGCTGGCTCCGTCGACAGCCAGCAAATTAATCAAATACGAATTTCTCCTCTCATAATCTAACGGTTTTGCCAACGTGATCTGCACGTCGTACTTCCCTTCAGCAAGCTAAAACAAGCCATCGCAATAATCTCAGTAGGACGTTTTCCATAAATTAAAAAAAATGTATTCCAGAGAAATTTGTGCTCAATCTGATTCGAATTAATTTTCTTCATTTAAAAACTTGAGAAGATTACTTGACCATGTCTGGCAAATTTTTATGTTTAAACTCACAACGTTTCGACCATGGTTTGTGGTCCTTTTCAAGTGATAATTGTGTCGGTAAATCCGTATGGTAAGTCAAAAGAACTGATCTTGATTTCACGAACGACAGAATACGAGTCATTGTGAGTTTATACATAAAAATTTGCCAGACATGGTCAAGTAATCTTCTGAAGCTTTTAATTACTCCTGGCGACTTATAAGATTCCCTCCAGTCATTTCTTCATTTAGTTTTGTTCCAATATTCGTAAATCCATTACTTACCTTCTCTGTGGAAACGTTGAAGACCTCGCAGACGTCATCGTCGCGTGACGCCGAGACGCATTGCACGTGAACGTCGGCGTTCACACCACCATCACGATCCGTGATCGTGATCGTGCCTGAGGGAAGTAACAAGCCACCCACGTGTGCACTTTCCGGCACCCTGGCTGCGTACGGCCGGCCGTGATAAACCGGTGGATTGTCGTTTTCATCGAGCACCGCTATTTCGCGACGAAGGGACACCGTATTCGGTTCCGACCCGGCGATACCTTCATCTGGACCAAGAGCGAATTGAGTCAATTTTCCTCTTATTACAACTCGAGAAGATAACAACGTCAGTGTTTTCTTGGCCGTATCTGGCATCTTTAATAATACAGAAAATTTAGAGTATGGTCAAGAAAACACTGACGTTGTTAATTACCGCTGGCGACATTGAAGAATTCTGATTAGTCGAGACGATAACTTCATCTTTTCATTCAATACACAGCGATACGAGTAGCAAATTTTGTCAATTTTACTTTCGTGATTGTTTATAGAAATCGAACTATAATATATTAACGTATGATGATCGTTATAGTATGTAATAGACACGGAAAGAAAAATGTAGCTGCCGTAGCTAAAAACTGCATGTGGCAACTAAATTTTAGTTGTAAAATATATACAGCTAATATTTAGTTGTGACAGCTAAATATCTTGTTACCGTGCCTATTGATTAGATACGACAGCAAACTGTTTGCTGTGGATTAGAAATGTATAGTTATGGCAGCAAAATATTTTTAGCAAACCACGATTAGCTCTATATAGTGTCCAGTGGATTACGCAATTTTACCTGTTATACTAATAATGACTTCGATGAGATCTTGTATTTCTCTGTCTAAGGCTTTCCTCAGGGTCACCACTCCGGTCTCCCTGTTCACGGTGAAGTATTCGCCGCTGATAGAGTAATGCAATCTGGATTCTTCAGGATCCTCCCCCAGGAGAGTATAAACGGGAGTACCAGGTGGTGCACCCTCTGACACAGACAACCTGGCCATGTCTCCATCTTGAATGAAGTGGGGTGCCCTGTTTATCACTTGGCCCCATGACGAAGACCACGTGGAGACCAACAGGAAAACAATCGTCCACATCGTCACCTGCGATTGATTCGTACTTTATCGAACGGTCGGTCATAACGGCAGGAAGTAAAATAATTAGATAAACTAATTAAAGCTAATCAAATTTTGTTTAAGAATTAAACATAATAATAGAAAATAATTATTGTTTAAATCTAAATCTTGATCATAAATCGGACAATTTTATTCTTATTTAAATGGCAATAAATAAAATTAGCGCCTATCTCTGATACGCAAAAGAGAATTAGGATACAATTGGAACACAGTCGAAGTAAAAGTCTGCTATCGACCGAAACAATCGTCGAAACCTTTAGGACTGTCGTGCCGGAGTTCGTCGAACTATTATTCGAAGAGTTACAATCGACGCATGCAAACGAGCGTGCGGATAGGAAACAGCAATCGCGTGAGTAGGATACAAGATCCGAAGGCGCTTTAGCCTCCACTTAAACGCGACTATCTGCCGTCTACTGCTTCGTTCTTTTTAGTTGTTCTACGGGAGAGAGAAGTCTGGTGCGCAGGCGAACCGCGACCGGTACTACCGGCAACCTCCGCAATCGCAACCGGCCGGCGAGTCGTCCAAATGCGTTTTCCGCCGAGTGAAACCCCGTTAGAAATCAGATTCCATTTCAGGAGTTCGCAGAAGCCGATCTGTGAAAACGGCTCGACGACGTGACCGAATCGAATCGGAGCATTGTATCGAACGGCAGAAATGCATGACGTTTTTCCCCCCCCTCACAGTTTGCACGAAGAAATCTGTCGTACGAGTTCGAAGAAAGCCATTTTTATAGCACGTTATTTTATGAGGGGAAAACGGTCCCTGGTTCATAACTCACCTTCTAAGAAACTTTATGTTGGGAGAAATTTTGTAATTTGTAGCTAGAAGCCCCCCTATATATTTAAAACAACAGTGTGCAGAGTACATTTTGTACATAAATAATATTATACATCCAATGTAAGTATATTTTTATATAAATATTTTAATTTTACGTAAGTTTAAAATTTTTCTTTAATAATGAAGACTGTCAATTTGCAAACTTAGAATTACACTGGTAAATTGTCGTTGACTGTCGTAAAAAATTGCTCGTTTTCTTAATTACAACTCCCACGCGGCATTCGCAACAAGACGACATCAGCCACGTCTCATCCTTGATATCGCGTGGGCGCAAATACGAGACGCTCTAGCATCACTTAAGCACTAGACAGGAATGATGCCGGCAAGAGCAACAGTGACACACAGCGTGGGGTAATGGCCCTGCATTTCCTCGACGCCTTGGTGCGTGCAGAGCGACCTCGACTTCCGCGTTCTGCCGGCCGCAGCCGCTATCGAGAGTCGCCTTCCCCGGAAGATGTAATTATCAATCGGTTGGAGGAGGAAAATTTACGGTTGCGTACTTGGTGCAACCCCGTTCTTTTCGTACATCCTAAGAACAGCTCTCGAATGCGAATCCCTATTTACACGTCGCGCCGGCTAGGAGGAAGCGCGTGTTACGCGCGATGCAAGATGCAATCTCCTGCAGCGAGGATACGACACGCGAACGAACGCGCACGAGCGAGTTGGTAATAAGAAAGGCGATGCTCTGTAAGGATACGAGGACGATGCTGATAAGTGCGAGTAATACGTACGTGCGTATGTTCGTGGAATTTCTGAAGCTGCTAAATTATTAAATTAATATGAATGTTAAAGTTTAATAATTATTTTAGATAACTGGATGTATTTTCGGTTAAAAAGTTTCATCTAGTTTCAAGCTCTTTTCTTTTTCGCGTGATTGTTATCACTTGAACGTTATTTGGTTTTAACGACCCTGGTGAAAATTCCTAATTTTCGTCATTGTTTCTTCGTACCGCCGTGATTAGACAAAATGCAATTTCCTTTAAACCTATCTTTCTGTAGTCTTAAGACGAATGGAATTGAAAATCAGGTAATGGCACTCGGCTGTGAATGCGCAATGAAAGTAGAGGCTTACAATTACCATACGCTGAAAGCGAGATTTCTCTACGTAGAACAATTACCCTTAATTGTAGGACGTGAGTCAATGTAGATTCGCGGACAATGAAGCAAATTTATCCATTCAACGAAATTTCTAAACTCAAAAAATTGGTTTTACGTCTAATTCCGAGCACTTGATGCGAGGTAAATATAAATGTCACATACGAAGAAAAGGGTAGAAAAGAACAAATGAATTTGATAATATTGAATTTGTGGGATTTATTTACTCCGTTGTGAATATGAAAATTTCGAAGTTCAAACGAAACATCTTATGCAACTAATCCATAATTGAAAGATCCGATTATGATTTCGCAATTCTTATTTAACACGAACATTGAATGATGCACACGTTAATGGGAGCGCATTATCTTGAAACGAAGTCGGTTTCTCCGACTCCGTGTACTTGGATTAATGCGGAAAACTGAGAGGTGCGAAAACCGTGACGACGATAACCGCGTGCGTATCGACGCTTTGCCGAGCGGATTGCAACACGTACGGAGAACCTTAAAACAGAAGCGACCGTTACTGCAAGCCAAGTATAAAATGATACCGAAAGATTGAATGATGACTGCGGTCGCAGCTGTGCAGCGAGAAAGGAGCCAAGTGCAAATCCCATGCAACGAACCGTTTGGAAATTAACGCTTGCGAAAGATTATGGACTCATCGCTATCCTATTGTTTAATTATTGTGGTTCTACTGCAATTCTGTTTTTATGACAAGCCAATTTGTTACTGTTGCTTTTATACACGTCTACGTGGAATTCTATCCGTGGGATTTACATGTGCATTGAACAGGCATATGAAGAATGCATTACAAATAACGTGAAGTTATTTCTCAGTTTGCCTATAATAATTTTTATTTTTTCACAATATTTTTTGCTATAAAAACGATACAAAGTCATTACTAAATAATGCCAGACATTAATAAAGAAGTGAAAGTTTGTACTGCAATTATTAAATATTTTAATTCGCTGCTTGGAGATTTGTGCAACTTTCTGCAAATCATAGAAGTTTAATTTACCGTGGAACTTTCTATTATCCTTGTTTCCTTGGAGGTAAACAATAACAGAAACTCATTAAAATTATGTAGGTGATGAGATTCAAGGTAACCAGAGACCTATTTTAGAAATAATTCCAAAACAGATAGCCAAATCGAAGGGAAGGGGAAACTGGGAAAGAAGAGCGCAAGTGGGACAAGTAGCAGGAACGAGCGAAAGAGGAAGCCAGAAGCGAGGAAAGAGCAAGAGAGAAAGAAAAAAACCGTTACACCCCTCTTCCTCTGGTCTCCGTTACGTTACGCGGTTGGAATTCTGACACTGCGTGACCAAGTGATGCCAGGATGAATGACGAAGAAAAGGAATATTCTGGTGCGCGCATGTCTTCCTGCAAATCTTCACTTTCATCAGCACGCGTCGCAAAGGGCACGGTAATTTTTTTAATTTCCTAAACATTCGTAAATAATCCTAGACGTAAAGCCGAAGGTCCTAGAAGTAAACCATATATTTTGTAGTTCTTCGTAGCGTATAATGAGAATTTTGCGTATACAATTTATGGTGTGTTCGCGAATATGAGACTGCCCGCTCCTTTCAGATTACTAGAAATTCCGACAATCCCCGGAATCGTCTGTCCCCTTAATTGACGGAAGTCACGCAGCACACGCGCAAGAAAATGACTGTCGAAAAATTCGCGCCCACGGTTTTTCCTGTTCCTCGAACTTGATACTGGTTCCTTGAAACCAGGACTTCGCCAGACCGCAAACTCACTGCCGGAACTGGTTTCTTCGCGACGACTGGCGAAAAAGACAATAAGAATTTGATCTCGAAGGCTTGCGTGGCTTCGCCAGACTAAGTCAATCATCCGTGGCCAATTAGCACGATACTGAAATTTTTTATAATACGTCCATCAAATCTCGAAAATTCAAGCAACGCGAATTAATTTAATATATAAAGATGATTATAATTACAATGCATGAAATAATTAACAATGAATACCTAAATTCTTTTCTCTATTTTGCGATATTATTTGGAGTTTTGTTAAGTGTAACGCAACATATCGATATTAATAACCAGACAACCGATACAGGTTTTAGTGCCGCCTAGATGTATCACCGTTCTACAGGTACCGAACAAAAGAAGAAACACGATTATACCGTTGCGCCAAGAAATCGTCGAGAACGAGACGACATCCTCATTCGACGACCCCGATTCCTCGATTTGCATGAACGTCGATTTGCAATCGTATTTAGGTCCAGTGTCCAATTTGGATCTCTCTTTTTCTGTTATATTATTTTCATCAACGTACAATAAATTTAGAAACGAATTGCGTTCTCCAATGTATTCAACTGAGGACAATAATGCAAAGCGTGATAAGCGCAAACTGGAGTAGAACAGAAACGAAAAACCACAAGTCACTCGAATTTTCAGTAATCCGAAAGTCACGAGCGGATCTCACGCACACGAATATATCATAAATCCCATACACAATCTTTATTATACGCTACAAAGAATTAAAAAGTAAGTATTTACTTCTAGAATCACTTACGAGTATTTAATAAATCAAAAACATTTCTGTCTTTTGCGAAATACACTGGTATTTAATGAAATAATCCTAGCGAATCACTTTATAAACATTTTTCTAATAATGAAGACAGTTAAAAGCTCTTTCGATAATTCAAACAAAGAAATAAATGAGTATCCCTCTAACTCGGCATACTTTGTTGTTTCAGGACGAGCAAATCTGCAAAATGTTGCATTATCCAACACCTGTCCAGTTCACGGAAATCGAAACTGATCGATCATCATCTCCACAAAGGACTCTCAGTTATTTGGTCTCTTCACATTAAAAGCAAATATCCAGGTCAACGTTTTCGGCAATTAACACGTGTCACATATTCGAGAAATTCATCTCACACTTCTCCATCAGCTCGCAGGACTTACCTACCAAAGTCGCTCCGAGATACCGCGCTGCACAACACGGTTTATCACCTCATCGTGTCACGACACCGCACATGCTATATTCCCGCGCACCATTCGATCTGTGTTCACTTAAACGCATTCGCGAAATCGCGTCGAATCCGCATGTCGCACCTGCGGCGAAATAACTAAATAAAAGGACGGACGGGCGCGAGAAAATGTCTCTTCTACCCTCTTGGTATCATTGAACGTCGGCGTCGTTCCGGACCGAAAAGAGAACCAACCGGTGTCTGCCAGCCAATGGACAGGTCTATACTGCATCCTAAGGAGGTATGCGGCCTCCACTCCACCACGGGAATGAAAGGTATGGAGAGAGAAGAAGAGAGAAAGAGAGAGAGAGAAAGAGAAGCCGCACGCCTCGGACTCAAGAGAGCCTATAGTCTGTACTCGGTAAAGCTCGACCGAGGACGACGACGACGGCCTAAGGAGGGAGTCCTTTTTCTCTCATTGTTACTCGAAGTGACCCCCCGAAACCATTTGATCCAACCTTCCGGTCACAAATTTCAGGATTCTCAAAGAAATTGGATGATTTGCAGAGCGATTTCTGCAATTAGAAATCCGCTGGAGAAAAAAAAATATTTTCACTCTCTCGTAATATAAAATTAATTTTTATTTCTATATTTTACAACAATTAATATATAAAGTAAATAAGGTTTTCTGTAACGTAAGTATTACGATAGTAAATTTTCGCGGATTTAATAATGCGAAACGAGAGAGAACAAATTCTGCTTCGGTCTTTTATTAATTTCTTAATAAGCAAGTTAAATCGATCGAAAATTGTTGTGCTATTTATAATAAATTGGTATGACTCATCTGACTAACATATATCATTTGATAGTAATGAAAAATGACAGAGGATTGGGGCTATAATAAGAAACGAATCGATGATGAGAACGGGATTGCGTCATCAGTTTTCCTGACATTTCGTTTGCTAGAAGTAATCTTGAAGGTGTTGTGACCTTTCGCTGTAGCTCTTTGATTAATATCCTGATACACCATTAGGAAAGCGATTTTTACCGAGCATATTTACGTAGAAATGAAGTTAATCTTATCTTCATTTAATCCTACCTACCAATTACAATGAAGAAGTACATGTCAATTATACTTCAAAGAGAAAACTTCATAAGAGAAAGTAATATTTTTTTCGTTCCATGTAGCGTCTGTGTCCATAATAATTAAACAATTATCTTCTTTAGCAACTTCTTTATAGACTCGAGCCTTAAAAGCCACTTCAACTTTAATATCCAATCAGCAAAATGTTGCTTCTTAAAATAAAGATTGCTAGGGGTAATATAATGTTGCAGTATCTAATTTATTAATATACACATAAGTATAATTAATGGCTATATATATAAAGCACATATTATTCAAATACTATTAGGCCGGTATTCATAGTCAGATCTTATATTCAAGACCGTCTTGAATTTATCTAAAGATGCTGCATGAAACATTTCATTGGCTATGGAGTATCTAAAGAGGATCTTAAGACGGTCTTGAATATAAGATCTGACTTACACCAGCCTTAAAGTATTATTCGTTAGCAATTATCAAGGGTATAAAAAAATTCTATTTTTTTTTTTAAATAAATTTTTACCAAGCAATTTTCCGTTTTTATAAACGGATTTAAAAAATTACGCAATTAACTAACGTCAGCAATTAAATCGCATTTAAAAGATGACATCTAGATGCATGTGAGTTGCGACCAAGTTTATCTTCAAGTTCCTCGTTCTCGTCCATCTCGTCAGATAGTTCAAAAGGTCTCTCTCGCGAACGTTTAACGTGTACAGGCTATAAAAGAGCAACGTTAAAATGCCGAAGGCTCAGTGTGCTCCGTCCCTCTCCATTCTCTTCACCCGTTCTTCCATTCTCTCTTTCTCTCCCTCGTTCTCTTTCTCTCTTCCTCTTTCGCTCTTTCGCTCGGTGGGGATAAAAAGGACGCGGAAAAGGGGTATCCGTGAATCGTAGCGTGATCGGGGAATAAGAACGACGCGAGAGGAACCAAGAGAAAGGCAGAAAATCAGTCAGGTAAGAGGAAGACCTCGCTACAGCGAGCGAGTGGGGAAGGGGATTTGTACAGTTAGCAAAGGCTGCGGCCAGCGCGACTCCACCTTCGATAGAGTATCATGCCAGCATCTGAAGTCGGACGGAGATTGTTTTCCTCTCTATAGAAGCGAGACAACACGCTGATCAAGACCTATCCAAGCTGTCGGGGATCGGGCGGACCGGATTCTGGATTTCCAATCGCGGTGTACGCGCCTCGGCTTCCATAGGCACGCTGTCGAAATCGCCGCGCTGGTGAACGGACAATTGCTTCAGCGTTCGGTCTCAAGAATTTATATTAGATTCCTACAATTGAGCTATGTGACTGGCGATTGAGTGATACAATTCGATTCATTCAAAAGGGATAAAAATTAAAATCAGTGTAATGCATTTTTACTGTAAAATATTGTAAAATATATTATAATCTTCGCAAACCGCGCATGGTACATAGTTGTAGTCATCCGCCCTTCAAATTAACTTATTAATATCAAGCTACATTGTATGTCGGCCATACATTGCACCATTACACAGTTCCCGTCGTTTATAATTTATAATTAAATATAATTGGAGATGTCTCGCGTATCTAGCAAGGAATTAGAAGGAAAAATCCGAGAAGTAAATTAATTCTATGTGTTCCCATATCTTAGATTTCCGAGTGCGATAGCGGACGTCGTGTTCGCGAGGCTACAGAAATCTGGAAGACACGTAATGCGTTGTGTTCGCGTGCGACATGTTTGCAGGATGATACATTAGTAAGACTACAAGGAAGAAGAGGACGCGTTGTGGGAAAAATCGTGTCTGCCAGCATCATCTTCCAGCGCAATTTTTTCCTCTCCTCCCACCTCTTTTTCTCTTCCTTCCCATCTTTTTGTTTTTGCAACTCATTTCTGCACAGACGTTTGCGTCCTGTTACGACTTATGGGAAAACTCCCGTGAACTACATGAAGCATAGGGTGTTGTCAGTTAGATAACCCACTTCTCACGCGCGCTCGCGCCTCTCACACGCGAGAGACCTTTCGAATCCACACGGCGAGTCCTCTCGCGCAATAATCGCGATACCGACCGCGGAGGATCGCGATTTCGAGAGGCCGAACCGTCCCTGTCGTAACGTTTTCGAGAAAAAGAAAACGGAAAGTGACCTATCGCGCCTTTATTTTCACTTGCGTAAACTCTGGTGAATAATTCAATTGTTCGGTGTAAAAATAAAAGAAATTCATAATTTGTACGATACAGGCATGATTTCGTATAAAGCGACTCTTTCGAATTACGGACTCGTTTCACATCGTAGATATAATTACTTATCTTCAGATATAATTACTTTTATAGAAATGTAATTTTAACGAGAAACACGGACTAATGATACAGTTGTTTTTACGTGTCTTTAAAATGAATCGTTCTTTAACTCACCTTGTCATACTAGCAGCTTCAACAATTTCTCTAAATAAATTAGAGCTGATACAACCAATAACTGATCAATTTTGCAAAGAACATGAATCTACTTACCGGAACTACTTTCAAATTGCATTCGTGTGGTTTGCACGTAACAGCTTTCTGTTTATTTATGAGCTTCATGATGTGCTGTAATAAATCCGCTCAACTTTCCTCGCATTATTATAGTACGACCATACACGCCAATCGTTTAATACGATAGAAAAAATAATCCGACATTATAATTAAACTGGTATTATTACTGGTATATCAATATTTATCAATATCTTATATAAAATTAGGAATATGAAGTAACGTTTTTATTTTAACTGCTTGCGCTCTAAAATCCCATTTGAGAAATTTGAAGAGATAGTTTCACAAAGATTTCCCTCCTCCCTAGTTCGCAGAAATTGTATTTCACGGATACCTGTATGAAACCAGTTGGCGCGATTTCGTTGATTGCACTTCGCCAATAAATTATCCAATCAGAGCGAATCGCCTTTATCGCAGTCGAACCCTTTTTTCAGGCTTGACAATTTCGGGCGAACGCGAACGGCGCGCCTCGCACGCCCCTTTTTTATTTGATTTTCGATTCTCCACGCCTCTGGGACAAATCTTTCGTGTAATTTCCAATATTTTCGCCGGCCGATCGAACATGTGTCTGCAACGGCATCGATTTCACGCCGACCTTTTATCGGCGCTACGAATTTTCAAAGTGTGAAAAGGGTTGGGGCTGTGTGCTTTAAAGGGTGCGCGAATAACGTTGCCGAAAAAATACATATTAGAAACCGCCATAAATATACGGCATAACTATACCGCTTTTTGCAGACCTATTTCTGTCAAGAATAAATTTGATTTCTGTTTAATTATAAACGATGACATGATTGCAAAAATAAACTTCTTTGGCTGTCTTTAAATAAAAACGATTTCTTGTCTTCTTTCTATCGAGAATCTTCGACAAGAATTTAGAAAGAATCAGTAAAGCAATGATCAACCACACTGTGTACATTTTTAGATTTTTCAATAAGTATTCTGTCACGGTTGTATTTCCATAGGTAGTAATGCGTGACGCACGAAATAATAATGACCATTTCAAGAAAGCGTGTCAGCAATAAAAAATTTTACAGCACGGATTCTTGCAAGAGATAAATTTCCTCCGGGAAGTAAATCAGACAAGTGCCGTCTACGTAGGAAATCATTTGCAACCGGCTCGCGCAAAGCATCATTTCGTGAATATTCAACGTTTAATTTCTTTTCTGGGGACCCCATGAGCATCCAAAGGCACATAATACCGAATAGTAGCATAGTCTCACGAGGAGAAAGTGCTTTTATTTCGGCCCGCGTGGCGACCGTTGTAGTTAACTACATGCGGAAAAATTATGTAAGTCGTTTTTCTATGACACTATTTATCCTGTCGTAACAATCTCAGACTTTTACATGCTTCACGGTGAAAATAAATGGCTGCTGTTAAACAAGTAATAGAAAATTGAATCTAGAATAATCTGGAAAACTAAATTTTAGATCTCCGTAATTTATATTACTGGATATTTATGTTCGCTATTATCAGATTATCATGATATATATTTATCTCAAAGTAAGAATTATTTTTTGTTATTACAATATAAATATTTCGTATAATCATCAGCAATTATTTCTGATTTACACTCGGTCCATAGAAAAGAAGTTAGCAGAATATGGATGATACCTCGTCTTTTATATGCAAATAATAGCACGTTAAACCGTTGCAATGCGTTCGGAAGAATGGCGTGAGAAACGAAGATGGATCTGCTAAGTCGGTCGATGTACTAGGTGCAACGCTCATAAACACACTGTGAGCCCGGAAAATTACTTAGGAGTGTTATAATTATGCAAATTGATCGAACGGTGCCGTAATATCCTCGCATTAAATGCATCTTCCGTTTATGGCATGAGAGAAATTTAGCGTAAGAACTCGCGACGCGCGACGAAAGTAATCGCGCAACTCGCGTGTTTACTGCAGCTCGTTATCAGATTGCAACCGAGTATGAAAAGTGATTTTGCGATGATCCAAGCAATTTTCCGACGTAATGCAATTTTGAAAAAATATTTTACAAGTATCCAGAGTTACGCAATGTGGACCATAAGACAACATCTTTTAAAGATGATAACTCGATCGATTATCTCGGACTATTAATATTCTGTAATCTACTAATCGTAAAAAGTTATGGCGAATGGACATTGACAATTAATAATAACGACAATGGCCAATTCGCGATTTAATGCACATCTAGATTTTTTTTCTTTGTGTCTATTAACAAATGTGAGCGCGGAAATATTTTGTACAGATTACCAATATTTGTCTACTAAAATCCTGTTCTGCAATCGTAGATTGGAATCCTTTCAACGCAATTCTAACGATGACACTCGGTATTTATATGACGAGTATCTTCCAATGCCTTTCGAATTTTTCTCGTGTAACTTTTCGTGCTTGAGAATTGTGCAAATAAGTGAGAAATATTTACAATCGTCCCCCAGTGACACGTGTTCAATCTGGTCAATTCGCACGCGATTTACTTCAAATATCAGACTTAAAATAAAAAATTCATCTAATCATCACCCCGGAAGGCGGATCTGTTTGTTTCGGTAGAACAAATTATTGACAGTACACTCAGAATGTACGTGAATATCCTTCGATAACACGGATCCTCGTGTAAACAGACGACACGTGTTCTTGATATTTTTCGTTCCCGAAGTGTATGAACACCGGTTTTATGTTATTCACTATACAGAATCGCGCGCGACCAAGACTGAAATCCCGGGGTTTTGCTAATACCGACCGTGAATGCGGTATTAAAACGGTCATTCCAAAATAACGCGTGTCAAAAATTGATAATACCTTGCTCTATGGAAGCTAATACTTCGCACAAGTCAAACTGATCAGTGCCCGTATCTTCGTTTCAGTGATCCCTATACAAACTAATATCAGGCGGTATTAAGTGCGCAAGATACACTTTTTGATAGTCTCGTGTAATAGACGGTGCACCCTTTCTTTCACTTTACAGTACGATAATATTTATTTGGTTGATAAAACTGCACAATAAACGCGGTAATGATTGTTGTCTTCAATGGCTATTTTTATCGTATTATTTTAACTGGCTTAATTTATAATTTTAATAAAAAGAAGTTGGATAAAACATCTCTTTCTCTTTTACGAAGACTCTTGTAGAATGCCGTAGGTCGAATTCGAAGAAAAGATTACAAAACTGAATTTAGAAAAAATGAAGTAGTAATAACAAGATCGATTCTTGCAGCATTTCGTAGATTTGCTCGTTGAAATTCTTTCCCGAATACCCCGTTGCGGTGCTGGTTTCTATAGCGATATATCTGACATTATCAGCTGATTAGCGCATATGACATATGGTCACCGTTGATTTTATTAGATTATCTGCAACTTATTTTCAGCATACATTGTGCACGAGCGTTAGATAACCACAAGACTACGAACGAGAAAATATTGTAAGTAATAAGAGTATATTTTTACAATAATTGTTTTCCATGCTATCTTTTACGTAAATAATATAATACTTAATTGGAGATTTTTAATATTTAAATATAAAATGTAATAATCTAGATATAATAATTCAATTGCATTTACATAAAAAAGATTGTGTTTTCTCAAAACAGAATTGTGCGTCTTACACTGATTTCTAAGATGAAAAACGCCTGTTTGTGGCTAACCCGTTGTACGTCACAGACAGACGGTATTCCAGTATTGAAACATTGAAGACACGTTATAACATAACATTTATACAATCCTTTCTTCGCAGCATTAATGGTGAAAAATGTTTTTATCCTCACTAAAAAAAGTTTACACTATTCTCGATTTAACAAGAAATAATAATCTATAAACATTTGTTTAAAGATTTATTAAAACTTCAGATTTTTCTTTATAAAACTTTTCAGCGTGTAAACGTTCATTTTAACTTTTGCTCCGTTAAATATTGTAAATCTCAATTTTTCGACTCGAGTACAATGAAAGCGCATTCGAAAATCGATTGTAAATTCGATAACCGTGTATACAATATCATAATCTCAAAGTGGTGTAATCGTCCTAAAAACCTCTAATCTTCTAACAAGGCGGCTACATCGCCGTGGCACGCGTCTGATGCATACACGAGGAGGAGCGGGGAGAACGCTAGACGTACCCCTCTATGGTGATTATGGGGTGAACTCTCTCTCGGTGCCCCATAGAGCCTCACGGTGGCCCTAGGTTCGTGGAGGGGACGAAATACCCCCGGGACGGTATATATGTTCTAAGAGCCCCTTGCCACATGCACAGTACCAAATTGTACCCCGCCTAGCTCGCTCGTCGGTGAATTCTTATTTTCTCGTTTCGTTCATCGTTCCGTCGCTGCGTGAATTTTTATTAATGTCGGTTCTTACCTCCCGAGAGTGTAATTTCTACTCCGTGCTGTGTGCTATTTCGAAAAATTTACTTCGCCTCTGATTTGCCAAAAGTTGAAGGCATTTGGCAAACTGCAAGTTTGGATTTTGGTATGGTACGTGGAAATGTATTCCGCAAAATTTTCCGAAGGAAACTCGACAAAGAAGATCTAAACTGATTTTATCGAGATTGTGTAAAAGAACATCATGTAATTTAGGATATAATTTAAAAATCTTGGCAAGGGAAATAACAACTAAAATACGATTAAATAAGAATATGTATTTTAAAGAAAACTATACTTTTTATTTTTTTTACGATTAGAACGAAGATAATTGTTAAAAAAATAAAATAAAATAGTTTTCTTTAAAATATATATTGTTATTTAATTGTATTTCAGTTTTTATTTTCCTTTCCAAGACTTTTAAATTATACCCTAAATTGAATGATATTGTGATTAGAATAATTTTTGTTACAAGCAAGTGGGCACAAAAGTAAACTTTGTGTAAAATTTTTATCGCTTTGCGTTACAGCAAGACACGGTGATGTCGTCAGAGTACTCATTCTGTAGCGAGGGAGGCTTCGACGAACTATCGAGTTCCTCCGATTCTGGTTTCGATGTTAGCTTCGAATCACCGAAACACGAAGTACCAGCCGACACTCTATTCCCTCCGATTAAAGAAGAAAAACGTAAAAAAACGCGGAACACTCGTTGCAAAAGTCCCACGCAGGTATATAAATTAATCCATGTCTCTTAAATATTTATTTTCTATAGAGAATCTCATTGAGAGCAAAATAGTTTTTACTATTTTTAAATATAACTTTTCCAAAGTTTTCTAAACAACAAAAATTTCAAAAATTATTTAAATCTATCCAATTACACAACTCTTATCTACTTGTCCGCCTAAGTCTTTATCTGCTTGCTCCTATTTGCTTACTTAAGCTTATACTCCCGGAGCGATTCCGCCGGAAATCAAGCACCGATTCCCTCTCTCAATGCCTATTCTGCAAATAGGTGCTCAGACTAAAGAGAAATCGGCGGATGAAGGCGAACGACCGCGAGCGTCACAGAATGCATACGCTGAACGACGCCCTGGAACGTCTGAGGATGGCCCTGCCGACCTTTCCCGAAGACACTAAGCTCACGAAGATTGAGACGCTCCGTTTCGCGCACAACTACATCTGGGCACTATCGCAGACCTTGGGCAACGCCGAAAGCGGTGAGATCACGGTGAATGTCGGCAGCGTTACCGTCAGCATCACCGATAACGGCAATATGATTACCTCGTCAACCGGAAGCTGCGCGGTGGCGGCTCAAAAGAGACTTGGACCGCAACATACCGCGGGTTTCCCGTATCCACCTCAGGAGCGATTCGTCGCGCCGGAATGGCAGGAGTACGATTGCTACAGCGATCAGAGCGTGAGTCCGCCGATGCAATATCAGCCCTGCTACGATCAGAGGATGTACCAGGTCCATCGTCCTCAGCATCAGCTAGCGCCGCCGTCTCATCATCACATGTCTCATCACAACAACATGTATCAGTGTCTTTAAACGTCGACCAAGTGCAGATAAATTCTAACGGGTTAAACAAGCTAGTTTCTCTTCAGCGTTCATTGTCTTTATTTGTAAATACAGCTCGGTCTCTCTCTGTCTATGCTGTTACAAATACTTAAGAGACACAAGAATAATTATCTTCTGGATAACTTAATCAAAAAATTAACTAGAGGAAGAAATCGAGTATAACTGTAGTTGAAGAGTGTTCTTCTTTCCAAAGAGCTGACGTGATTGTAAAAAGAAAGGACAGTGCTATGATTATCGTTATCTACTTTATAAGAGAGTATTTTATTCGAGAGGAGTATCGAATCGCTTTTACTTATAGCGTAAGTCGATTAGAAAGCTTTTCCAATTCTCCCCATAGCATACTTTGCATCGTTCACAAAGATGGTAAATCTTATAAACAAGACAAATAGCAATACTTTTACAGGATTATCGCTTTTATATCAAAATTATACAAACTTGTTCCTAATGCTAATATTAAACGTAATTTACTTTTACGTTTTAGTGCGAAAAAAAGTTGGTTTTATCATTGACGGTTAATTACAGATAATTAATGAATGATAAATTTCTTACCGTAACATTTGCGTTCCTTTTGTTCTAGTCAGTATTTCTTAGTTGATCTCGGCCGCTCGATCTCATTTTTGTTCAACTTATCTTAAGATATATATATATAAGCTTTTAAATTAATTAAAAAATATATAATGCCCACCAGTGCTCTTATTATAATACGCAACTGCTGATTCAGGGAATATATTGTATATAATTTATACGTAATAAAAACATATTTTACTTAAATTTCTTTTTAAACCCTTTTTCAGCTAAATGTGTGTCACATTAAGCATATTTAAAACATAACACAATAAGTTTTGAAATTTGAAGTTTCGTAATTGTGGAGAAAATAGAATCTATAAAACAATATTGTTTATATCTTTTTGTGTCTCATTGTTATATTACATTTTTATTTTGTGGAAGATTGAAACGTTACTAGGTACATGGAAGTCTCAATTTATAAATCCTATTCGCCCAACGAAGTGCTCTGATCCACTTTACAGGAATGGAATAGTGGCTTGAGAATAGACGAGCACGTGCCAGGACACGCGTTCTGCACTGAAGCCACCGCAGAGCAGATGTATCACAAATCGTGCCTAAAGTTACATCCACCCATATAATCCGTGAGATTACACGTAAAACATGACTACAATTTCCAATCAATGTAAGTATTGAATAACCAAATTTACACAATTAGCTGATCGTCCCACGATAAATTCTCTTGTTATTTTTATACAATCTGCTTCAATTATTTTACCACATACTATTTTACGTACTTTATTTTTAACAAAAACCAATTGATACGTTGTAAGTAAAATATTAAAAATTTTTATATATTAACAATTCTTTAAGAACAATATAAACATTAATATTGGGTAATTATTACAATATAATAGCATTCTTTCGCAAGTTATTTTAACATCAGAAATACACAATGTAAAAATGGGCTAATGATGTTGCGAATTTGTTCCAACATATGTATAAGAAAATATAATTCTTTGATAATAATTTTCCATAATCGTGCATTTTTATCGTACTGAAATTTTCTCGTTATTATGCAAAAGCATCTTGATAAAGAAAGCACTTTGCATAACGAAAGCAAGTGGATATCCCCTTGTAGCCTACCAACGGCCAAGTGTTAGCAAAATAAATAGGCGAGTTCGATCGTTCGATCAAACGGAGTACGAGTAAGAGATCTGTCAAAACAGCCCTTCGGACCGTTCAAAATGGAAGGATAATATTTTTCTAATCTTTCCAAAAATTTTATTTTACTTCCAATCCACCCGTTCGTTGTGATAATATTGATTTATGATTAACTATTACGGCGTATTATTGAATTGGAAATTACGTCACACGTTTATTACCGATTGTTTTATTGTTCACTGATTACTACTGTATATTTTTTTCTATATATTTTAACCATCTATTTATTTTGTCAAAACATAAAATTATTTTATACAAATAAGTTTTAGATAAACGAAATACTGTAATGATATTCTCTTTTCACTTCAATTTATTTGGACTTAAATTTTAGTTATCATATTTACAACGTAAATTTTTTAATTAACGTGATATCACTATATTAAAATATTTTTTTGTTCCTTCCTTTCGGTTGCAAAGATTAAAGTTTCCAATTCTTTCATTGTACCTATTATTCTTACACATTAACATTTAATTCCTGCACAACAAATGTAATAATTTCACGGGTCTTCGCGGAATGCTAACGCAGACGCGCACTAATCCATCAAGACTACCGCTGCGCGAACAATAATTTCCTATACAAGATCTATTTGCAAACAGCGTGCAAGCTGCGACGAATCCGTTAGCACGCTCGATCGTTTCCCCAAATCTTGCCAATAATAGTAATGCCTCAATGGTGCCATTATGTGGACGATATATCAATGTGTGCACAGCGCACGACAGACGGCCAGCATCCATAAAGGTGTTGGATTTTGGGGGGATTCAATCAGTTTTTGCCGGGAGCTCACAGCCCGTCTATATATCCAGTAAATTTAAAAAAAAAAGATAATAATGTATAAAAGGGCGCAACAAACAATTCCATCGCTTACTTTGTTACCTTTGCTACAGAGCTTTCCGATAAGCACACTGATATACATTTCTCTTTGATCAATATGGAAATTAATATTTCCTTGAAAGCAATTAGATGCACCTTTTTTAATATCTTCTTTCGCAACACTAAGGCTGGTATTCATAGTGAGATCTTACATTCAAGACCGCCTTGAATTTATCTAAAGATACTGTATGGAACATTTCATTGGCTATGTAGTGCCTAAAGTTGATCCTAAGACGGTCTTGACCACAAAATCTGACTACGAATACGATTACCGAAATATCTCGGTAATCAAATGTTATAAGCAATAAAACTGCTCTACCAGATGCTAAGTTACACCAATTGAAAATAACTACATAATTTTTGTATAATAAATACTAATTAATTTTTCTACCAAATCCTTTTGTCGCTTACAAGAGCATCGTCCTAAAAATTATTCCATATTCCGCAGAAGCGAGACATCTTTCTACCAAGATGTATTGGCACTGCTCGTGGATGATACAAGCGAAGTCCACAGATCGGATTCGTAGTGACTTACGTTATTCCTCGAAAGTACAATATTTTTTTTATCTTACGTGTCACGGGGTCGCGGACGAAGTGATTTCGCTTCGATCGACCTTTCGTTGGGTCGTTTCCGTCGAGTGCACATATCGATCGCCACGTTCGGTCCTCATTGTACCGGCGCGCTGGTCTGTACGGTGACATACTGGTGGCTGACAGAGACGGTGGTCCCCCTCCCATGAAAAGAGAGAAAGCCGTACGGCAACGGAGGGAACGAAACGCGGGACCACGGTCATCGGGGAGGGTGAGACGGTCTTTCCTAATTCAGGAAAACTCGTTAAATTACCTTGACCGATCGTTGAGCACTTAATCGAAGATTAATGGCCGTAGCTTTCGAAGGTCGGAGCTCTACGAGTGCGATTTGTCTCCCCGCGTTGGAGATTTAATTCGCCCCACGAGTCATTCGCGACCGAAATTGCGCAGACTAACAAATTCCTAACGATCGCGCTACTATAAATGTATGATCATCATCCGGAATAGACAGTGAGATGATTTTAATGTTCATTAAAAAAAAGAAAACGATACGGGAAATCAGTGACAGTAAATCCTGAACCTAACGCAGCGGGATTAATTGTCAACACTGCGATAGAGACATGTTTTAAAAAGTTATCTCTTCGAAAAGAAACAAGGATTTATTTTAATGCCTTTATCTTGGAACCTCTCTGGGGTTTCGATGTATTTATTTGCAGCACGAATACGTTTATTTATACGCCGCGGGAAAGTTCAGTAAGCATCGTATTTCCGCATCTGTTTAGACGCGTCGTGTGCAGGGCAGCCGGTTTTCCATTGCAAGTCGGCATTTGCAGGCCTTTGTGGTAAACCACGAACAATACCGGTTACGGTGCCGCGTTGTGCGACCGGCTCTGTCACACCACGGAGCACAACGTGCTTTCTCTATTCGCGGTGACTCGCTCGTGCTAAAATATGGAAAGCCTTATTTGAGTTGCGGCTGATCGGTCGCCCCCATCACCGGGATTCACGAAATTAATTAGAATGGACCGCGGATTAATGTGCGCACCCTCGTCTCGCATAACGCATTGCCGGATAAATAAAACGCCGAAGAAAGAAGCATACACGAATATCTGTGCGTTTCTGTATCGGCGTCACTAAGACTTACGGAAGCGGAGTGAATTAAAAAATTAACCGTAGTTTATACTGCTTGCAAATAAATACATCGAGACCCCAGAGACTCCAAGATAAAGGCATTAAAAGAAAGATTATATTCTTGCTTCAGTTTACAAATCAAATACATTATTTATTTTATTAAGACAGATTAGATAAAAGTAAAATTAATACCAGATTAATTTATTTAATAACACGATTCTCTTTCCAGAATAAGTTTGATAATGAGAAATAATAAAACAAGCGGGGAAATTGAAATAATCTGAGGTTTAAAATATTATTATATATATTGTGCGTATGTTATACAATGAACACTCGGAGAACAATTTCGGGAACGTTATCCGGCAGCCGTTATTCTACCATTCTATAATCGTCGGTGTCGTGAAAATTGACGGTTTCGCAAAACGTCAAGCTGATGACAGAAACTTGTGATATGAGAAAGAGAGAGAGAGAGAGAGAGAGAGAGAGAGAGAGAGAGAGAGAGAGAGAGAGAGAGAGAGAGAGAGAGAGAAGGAAAGAAAGGGGGGGCATTGCCACGTACAGACATACGCGCAAACATATTCACGTACGTACGCGCATACGTACCCCATAGTTTGACTCCAACGCTCGACGCACAGGGGGACAGATGTCTACGGGGGGCAGGTGTACCCCAGTGGTGCGCGTGCCAACCAACCCCCCGTCGCGCCACCCATTCAAGACTATAATTTACTTGAAGAATGCCCGACCCAGCCAGGCATTCATCCCGGAGTGACGTGGGTTGCTGCCTTAGGTTTAACAGCGAGATTCTCGATCGCGAGAAACCGATCGCAGATGAGCCCGATTGCCACCCTCGACGTCGGACATCGATGGGCGCTTAACAAATTAGCGCGAATTATAATTGTCAAGAATGTAGAAAATTGATTGCAGCGTGATAAATATATTTTAACTGACAACATTCCCTGGACCCGTAAGAATGCATCTACATCTTAATCTTCGCTGTCGCAAATCACCCCTTCTTTCAAATTAAAATAGGGGAGGAGAGGTATAAGTATATACATATGTATATTTGGCTGTTTGTAGTGTTGCGCAGATTTAGATTCAAATGGTGCATTTTCGTAATGGCATCAACCTTGACACTTCCTCATCCCGGGCTTTAATCACATGTAAAACCGGGATTAAGTCTGCACCAAAGCCCCGTCGGACAAATCATTGATTTAGCTTCATTGTGAAGCTAGTTCGAAGCGCCGCGCGCGCGTTTTATTGGGCTGGTAGGGCCGGGATTATGCAGGATTACATGAGCGCTGAAAGTATGTTTGATCTCTCGTCTCCTATCTGCGTGAGTTTTATTCGAATCAGAGGGGGCTCGGAAAAGACCGTCCATTTAAATTCTACTAAAATGGAGCTTGGTAGGCTGAGTAGACTCATCGAAACAAACGTACATATACTCCGTTTGCACTTGACTTGATCATTATACTACTGTTAA